CCCCCCCCACACACACACGGGAGTGGGGGTAGGGGGATGGGAGCATCAGTGCTCTGTGAACTGAACTATCTTTTTCTGATTAATTTAGTACAAAATGGTTTACATCTTATGGACTTCACAATAGACTGGCTCCAGAAGTTTCCTAGAAGCTGGTCCCAGAGGGTCAGATTTTTGCACCCCGTTTGGCTGCCCAACACTGCTTTGATGCACTGTAGATGGAAAACTAGTGTAACTAGCTACCTGGGAGTTTGCAGTGTTTAAAATTAAACCTCAGATGAAATACTGCTGATCTAAAGGCTTTTTGCATCTTATCCTGCTGCCCAGTGTGAGTAGCATTCATAAGGAGAAGTTGTGGTTGGGTTGTCTTTGGAACTACATGGGCAGTCAGATGTGAATTACAAGAACACTGACTGCTAGACTGGACTTCAATGAGGTCTAGAATCCAAGGTTGGCAAAATATAGATGCTCTGTCCTTCCAGACTCATGGCTCATAATCTGGACTAGAATGCCTATTGTGGCATCCTGCCAGTGAGAGAACTTCTGCTAGAATTTCTCTGACTCGGTATATAAATGTTTTGGCCTTCTGTCTACCTTGAGATTCAGTCTAGTCGACATGGCATTTACTTAGTAAGACAGATCACTGTCAATGGAATCCATGCATACTTGTCATTTAACAGGGACATTTTTTTTTTTAACCTTGACCTATGTCATGTGATGGGAATAAAAAAATTCTAATTGAATCCCTAGGCAGCATTCCAGCTTTTTGCTGTACTATATATAATTTATTAATATATAAAATTCAGCCATTACTTGTGGCCTTTTTAATATACATAGGCAGCTGCAGTATTGCTGATGTCATACATTTGGAAATGGAGTGTCAGACCACAGATATTGTTGGCTACAAATGTCCAACTCGGGATCCTTCAAATTCTGGTTTATTAGGCGGATTGAAACACTGCAATGAGTTGAATCATAAACCTTGGGCTGGTCCTTACACACATACACACACACACACACACACACACACTAGCAAGCTACAAGAGTCAGGTATACCTATCCCACAGGCTCTGGAGTCCGTTGTTGAGGCTTCTTTCAGTGTGGTATCATCTTCCAGAAGGGGGTCACCAGCTGGTCCTTCTGGCTGGACAGGTCGGGTGCTGGTCAAGTTGGAGATCAAGAGGGTGCCACTGAGAGTCACTTTTCACTGCTTTTTATCTGTCCTTGGCAGACTTTGGTGACTCCCCAGTTTTCAGGTTTGCCCAATCCAGGGGTCGTTGACCCTTGTGGGACTTCCCCCCTCGGTGGCTACTGGATGGCATGTCAGCCCCAGGGGTCGTCCACATGTACATGCAGGTTTGGGAGTCCGTTGATGAATTTTGAATAGGGCTCTGGGAGCAGTCGATTTGGAGATATTCAGCCCAAAAGTTGGTCCCCGACATTGATTAACTCAGGCCAGGGCTTCTAGCCCTTGATCAGTGACATTTAGAGATGTCCTGGTTGCTA